ATGAAACTCTGCTTTCATCATGACATATCATAACTCTTCTAAATGATGACGTTCCAACTGTCAGGACATAGTTTAAATGTTTTGAATTATTTTTTCTGGTGTACCCTCTTTATCAAGTTGGTTTTCTACGACATTGGGTCTCTACTGCTATGAAGTCATTCATGCTAATAGTGTTAGCACCGTGGAATTCAATTAATATTCCGTGATCGATCACTTTTTTAAATGCTTTTTACTCACAATGATACTATTTTCACTGAAATACACAAAAAATACGTAAATAAAGTTTTGATTCTTTTGAAGAACCTGAAACTATAGTTTCTGTGTTATGACTATTCATAGTGAATATCACAGAAATTAAATCATCATTGGTACGTCTAATTTAATCAAAGTTACACAGCAATATAGAATGAATAAAATTACTTTTACCTATATTATTTTAGCTTATGGCTGCGTTGAATTCGAAGTAGGACTCACTACTTTAGTGGCCCATGATCGTGACTCTTACATTTGTGAACAGTTGAATATACTATGAAGAAAATGTCCTCTTTAGTTCCTGTGACTCATACTTACACGAATCCCATTTGTGCGATGGCAGTAATAGACGTGTGTACTGTGAAGTAGTTCGCTCTGTCTTACTTTATGGCTGTGAAACATGACCAGTGAGGGTAGAAGATATTCGTAGGTTACTGGTTTTCGATCATAGGTGTCTTCGAAGCATTGCTCGTATACCGTGGGACACCCGAGTAAGCAACGCTGTTATTAGGAAACGATTTGTAGGTAAGGGTAGCAGATCAATAGATGAAGTATTGAAACTTCATCAGTTGAGGTGGTTGGGACATGTGTTGCGTATGCCCAACCACCGACTACCTCGACGAGCTTTGTTTTGTAGTGTAAGAATAGGTTAGAAGAAAGTTAGGGGCGGCCAAACCAAAACATGGCAGAAATCTATGAAGTCATTGACGAGTGGACTTAGCCATGTCGGTAATTGTCGACTATCACCTTGTAAGGGGTCCGCGAGATGATAATAATCGATGATTAGAGACCCTGAATGACATGGCTCAAAACCGTTTGCAATGGTACCGGTGCATTCATTCTTTGTGTTCTCTCAAATCCTAATCTTCTGGATTCTTCAACCCCTCTAGTTTTAACTTTCTAAACGTTTCTCACTGAATCACATACTTCTTGAATAATATCTTCTAATCCTAACCTCTCCGAATACTTCTAATACTTTTACTACCTCTGCTACTACTATTGGATTTGAATTGTTAATTACATCTCTGTATTAATATGGTATGGCAACATGAACTGATGTACTTATGTACAAAGTTCTACGTTGCATATTACTGACTGACTGACTGATCGCGGTAATAAGCAGCAAAATACAGATTCCGTTGGATACATTTATTTCAGAACATCGTTCACGTAGAAAGATTTGAGAATACAAAGCTTTAAAGCAAGGAGAAGTGGAGAACGCGAGCAAGCCAACTCCATACAATAAATCATGTCTCAGTATTTATAGTCAAATATGTGATAAACGAAGTACACAAACACACACACACACATTGTAATAGAAACAACCACGATAAAAGTGAGTAGTTGGCAAGGTCGAAGGACGGATAAGTAATAACTCGAGAACAATGGATTGATTAAACTGTCCAAAAAACGCAAGCCATGTGCGCTCGATATTGAAGTACGCACACTACATACGTATTTCTTAACATACAGTGAAAGTATCAGTGATACAAAGATGATAAAAGTTCACTACGTTCGGTAACTTTCTATTTGGCTGGTAAACTAGCTTTCAACAATACGTCCGTCTTGGTTTAATCACCAACTTATGTTTTATGATTTCATTACTGATAGCCTCATAGATGATTATTTACAAACATGGATGATGGATGACACATCTTTCAAAACTCACTTATAGAAGGTGATCATATAAGTCAACAAATCCATTGAACAGCCAATTTACTAACACACATGCATAAAACTCGAATTTCAACTTGTAGATCAATTTTTAAAGGTTGACATAATGAGTTGGTCACATTTTAACTGGTCGTAAATAAAGACTGGATTATCGAATCATGGGATTATATCTATACTCCATTGGGACATAATGTGGCTTTTGCGTTTGTGCGGGAATATTGTGCCACCGATGACCAGTTTGTTGAAGGCACATAGGTTTGCAAATCTCTCACCGTTTTCGTTCCTTTCTACCAGTCCATGTCGTCCCATGATGTCTTCATATCCAGTGTTGTCCATTCCAACCTTGGCATTCAGGTCTCCCATAAGAATCGTCAAATCCTTTGGTGAACATTTATCGACGATTGACTGCAGCCTTTCGTAGAATTGATCTTTAACGTCGTCATTGTAGTCATTGGTAGGTGCATAACATTGGATGACGTTCATTGTAATGTCCTTTTTCTTTGTTTTGAAGGATGCTTTAATGATCCTCGGCCCATGAGATTCCCATCCTATCAGTGCCTTTTGTGCATGTTTGGACAGCATCAGTGCAACTCCTTGTGTATGTGAAGCATTTTTCTCTTCATGACCAGAGTATAACAGCAGTTCCACTGAAGCAAGTCTCAGTTGTCCTACTTGTGTCCAATGCGTTTCACTGAAGCCGAGCACATCGAGGTTGCATCTTTTCATTTCTGCCGCAACTTTAAATAGTCTTCCAGTCTCTCACAATGTACGAATGTTCCGTGTACCTAAAAGAATGGTTTCTCTGGTTTTCAGAAGGGGCATCAGTCTCGTGACATCCGATGAAACTTGGCTTTCATCACGTAACGTCATAATTCTTCTTCCAACTCCCAGGGCAGAGTTAAAATGGTTTGAATTATTTTTTCTGGTTAGCGTTTTTTTGGCAAGTTAGTTCTTGACGGAATGGAGTCGCCAACACCATGTCCAACCCTCCTCCTTTATGCGGGCTTGGGACTGGCAGTAGCCCCTAAGGTTCTACTGGCGGAGTTAACTACATTTCTATGGTAATAATAAACTGTAGCTATTCTTTTTAGGATCCATTTAGTCCAAGCCGTATGGCGTAAAAATCTGGATGAAAAAAGTTGTCAATACTAAAACTGAAAAGCTACAATAATGTACATTTTTATAAACATATCCATGTTTTACCATAGGACCAAGAATCCCGCGTATTTTTATATGATACGTTAAACTACTTATAAATAGTTAGTAGTTTAAATATAACAACTAATTTATTTTGTTGGTCTCGATTGGTATTGTTTTTTAAATCATCAATCCGTTCAGAATTTCATATTTTGGTTGATTGTTTTATTCATAATCTCATTGATTCCAGCAATCTTCGTTAAATTACCTTTCCTCCATATTCTATTTAAACTTGGTTGAATCTGAATAAATTTATTTTACTGTTGGTATTAATGTTTGAAAATAACTGTTTGATTTTTCTGGATTGACGTACTTGTTTGAAAGAAATCTTTACCCTTCCACGGCAGCTTAACTGAACGACCAAGGCCGTAGTATACAGGATTTATAAGCATATGGTTCTTGGTTTTCCTAAGAAATACTACCCCCACTTTTAAACGAATTTAAAACCATCTACTCCAAATAATATACAAATGTTTCGCTCAGGAGATTAGGATCATTTATATAAATGCTGTGCAAGTGTTCGGTGTATATTTTGGACAGCATATCATAGAAATATAATTTTTACATTTGTTTGTGTGTGTTTGCTAAAAACTATTAGCCTACTATTAGAATAGATTTGCTGAACGTTACAGGAAATTGTCAATTTAGGGCGGTGGAGATTGAGTTTAGTTTCACTGAAATCATGAACTGATCAGTGTTAGACCACCATTGAAAAATCTAGATAGCCATTCTGTCCAAGGATGGAACTCATCAGCAGTGTGTATCCACCACCGCACAAGCGGAAGTCAAAACCAGGACTTTTATTCTCGCGTACAAACACATAACCTCTTCTTTGTTGAGAAATCATCCGACGTTGTTCATGTCTAACTTGAATCAGTCTACAATACTGAGTGAAAATAACATCGTTGTATACTGTCTTAATGGTCTAGAGGTTGAATGTTCTTACGCATGGTCGAAGGTCGTGGTTTCGTCTCCTGCACATGGAGCAATGTGCGCACACTGCTGATGAGTTTCATCCTTGGACGAAAAGGCTACCCAGTATTTTAACGTTTCCAGTGATGGTCTAATATTGATTAGTTCACGATTTCGAAGCGACACCAAATGTAGTGAAGGAGAACACAGGTGAGGGCAACCGAATTGTATTTACCCGTAAATTACAGAGTTACTCAGTAAAATAGGAAAACCATATCGTGACCGTTAGTTAATTTGTAAATCTTCAATCAGTCATCATCAATCCATTGTCTGACATTTCACTATTCATGCATTTCATACAAATTCGATTGTGTTCCCACTCTTCTTGTTTTCTTGATCTTCCCCCATCTTCTGCTGCCACCAGACATTCCGTTTACACTCACGTCATATACTACTTATTAGTAGCGCGCACCACAACACTTTAAACGTTTGACTAATTTCCTTCTTTTATTAATTTTCACACAAAAACATTTCACTAATATCAATCTAATGAAAATAAATTTTCATTTGATCAAAAACCACCCTGTGAAACATAAAAAAAAATTTGTTTCAATAAAGATAGTTAGTTGTAAGCCATACACATAAAAAATATCAACATCTTTTTCCATATCGAAGATTAAAATTTCTCATGTCACTATTGACACAAATCAACATTATGATTGGCTAGATTTATTTATTCCATACAAAAATCCTATTGGTCAATTGATGATTCATAATTCTCAAATCTGATTGGTTCAATTATTTTTTTTAAAAAAACTGAACAAATTTACGCGGTATAAATGATTACAATTACATATTTATTTTTTCAAAAAATCTGTCTAACAATTTAATTCAAATTGTAACACACAAAAAAAGATAATTATTGTGGATGATAAATATTTTTTCTGTTTTGAATCAACACTAAAATGGAACATCATTATTCACTTATGAATAACACTACTACAAATACTACTAATACTACTACTACTACTAATATTTCTACTCATTTCAATCAATACTCATCGATAGATGAAGAAAATCCTTCTGACCACAACATCAACACTTATATGAATAATACATTCTTATTAGAAAATCTTAGTAATCTCTTGTCATCTAGTGTATTACAAAATATTACTCATCATTTATTAAAACAAAATTTTTCAAAAACCAACAGTGATTTCACACAACTCCTTCTATCCAATTGGAATTTATTCAATGATCAATATAAATTGGCCATTTTGAAAAAAACTTTATCTACAACTAATATAAATATTAATGAAGATTTATCAATTATATTGGATCAATGTACAAGTCGGAATGTTGACGATATTTCATCACAACAACAATATTTACTGAATACAACTAATGTTCAGAATACAACGGTTGACAATCATCATTGGTCACATTTGATTGGAACATTGAATAGTCATGATTATCATCACTATGACAACGGGAAGGATGTTTATCATGGAACAGCAAACACTGAACATATTCATAATAATATTAGTAATAATACTAATAATACATTATTGAATTTCGAATCACAATCAAATGAAGCCATTGAACATCGAATGATGAGAATTTCACCGGTTCATTCAAATTCTTGCTCTCTTTTTCCATCGAAACCGCCATATTCCTACATTGCATTAATTGCGATGGCGATTAAATATGCACCAGGACAAAAAATTACGCTGAATGGTAAGTGCTGTTATTTGTATAAACCCATGTATTTTACTGTATTCTATATTCTATAAATTGGAGGGAAATTTGTTTTTATTTACAAGTGTGGCGTTCTATTCAATTTGATTATTTTGGTCAAAATCATTTTTTAAATTGAACGAAACTTGGGTTTATTATTAGTTGAAAAAACAAGGCTTACATGACATTAATTAAAAATATTGAACAATGAATTCTATTTGTTTGTATATCGTTCTTGAATACTTTGACCTTGACGTGAGTTAGGAGTGAAATAATTAGTTAGCTTTTTTATGACTTTTATTCACTTATTTAGAATGGCAGAGGTGTATTCATTCTTTGGGTTCTGTCAAATTCTAATCTTCTGAATTCCTCATCACCTCTATCTTTCTCTTTCTAAAGTTTAGTTCACGGGATTATACGTCTTGAACAATATCTTCAAACCCTAATCTTTCCGATCAGATCTTATAATTCTACTACCTCAACCATTATGCGATTTGCAGCTCTGTGTGCTAATGTGGTATGTCAACTTGAACTGTGATGTACACGTACGTACAAAGTTCTACGTTGTCTTATATTAATTTGTCGTAAATCACCGACATTACGTAGACTTGTATAATATATTCAAGGTTTTCATAGTATTTTAATAGAAGTGGTTTCTAAATAACTTTATCTAGTTAACAGGAATTTCTGTTAGCTGACAATTTTTCAACAAAATCCTACCCTACAATCTAAGCTACAATCAGTTAAGGATTTGATCGTGACCGATTTGGTCATGTGTGCTTTTCTCGGTATGAGTGCGGATGTTACTTCTTGCCTGATCACATCGTATAAATGCTCCGGTTGTCAGAATGGGGGGGGGGGGCGTCGACCTCGACTTTCATCATGAAACATCATAACTCTTCTAAATGAGAGGGTTAGTTTTTTTGCGGAATGGGGTCGCCAACCCTATTCCCAATCACAATCTACGCTACAGTTAACCATTAGAAAATTCTGAAAAGAGAAAGCTTCATAATCAATAGAGATTTGATTTGCCACTGCAACAGTTTTTTGAACCAAAAATAAATTGATTGTATACTGGCTATCTTTATCAAGTCACCTGATTGATGAAGGTTTCCAAAAAATGTCTAACTATTTTAACAGACTGTACCTAAAATAAATATACATATATATATAGATATTGAAATCATGAATCAGTTATTGTTAGACCACACTATTAAAAAACTCAAAGCACTAGACAGCCGTTCTGTCCTGGTATAGGTATCATCAGCAGTACACATCCACAACTCCTGCAACTCACGAGATTCAAACACAAAACCTTCAGTCTTGCACCCGAAAACACCTAACCTCTGAACCACTAAATCGTCATCCAACTGGTGTTACTGTACAGAGGTTAGGCATTCACGAAAGCGAGTCTAAAAGATCTTACGAGCTGGAAGCACACAACTGATAAGTTCCATAGCAGAACAGCAAGCAAGACAGCCCAATAATCCATAGTTTCCAGGTTTCAAAAATGATAGATAGATATTTTGGGGCACAGTTTTGCAGGTTTGCGTTTTTACACATTTGAAATCATCAATCAATCAATCATTGTTAGACCACCATAAGGCGAACGCCTTACCATCGGACTACAATGTCAAATGTCCCAGGTTCGAATCCTGCGGGGAGCAGGAGTCGTGGCTGCGAACTGTCACTGATGATTCCCATACCAGGACCAAACGGCCGTCCAGTGCTTTCAGGTTTTTGATGGTGGTCTAACAATGATTGATTGATGATCTCAGATAGATAGATAGATAGATAGTTTAACAACCATGATTGATTTCTATATAATTGGCCTCCATAACTCTAAATAGACACTTCAATCGATCGATCACTTTAAAAAAATATTTTTCTTAATGAACCACAATATTTGGTGGTCAGTCAGTCAGTCAATAAATGAATAAATTAACTAATTATTTATTTATTTATAGACAATTAATAATAATAATAATAATAATAATTTACTTGTAATTAATTATTTATTAAATTTTCAAAAAATAAAAAATAAAAAAATAAAGAAATATTTTTGTCTAGAAATTAAAATTTGACTTGAAGAAAAAAAACAGAAAATTTAAACAAAATTAATAATATTAATTATAATATTAACAATAATAATAATAATAATCATAATAATAATGTTTACATCAGCTGATAATTAACAACAATTAGTGAGTTAGTTAGTTAGTTAGTTCATGATGACAATTATCATTCAATGTTCAATTTTTTTCTAATTGAATAATAAATTTTCTGATAAACAAAAGTTAAACAAAAAACAAGAACTTTCAAAATTAACAAAATTACCCTCGTTTCAGTTTGTTTGTTTTTTGTTTCTTCTGTTTTCTATTGATCAATAAATAACAAAATAAAAAAGAAATTGAGTTTGAAAAATACTTCATCATTGTATTGAACATTGAACTAGATATATGTCAGTCAGTTAGTCAGATGCAACGTAGAACTTCGTACGTAAGTACATTAGTTCATGTTGCCATACCACATCAGCACAGAGAAGTAATCGTCAATTCAAATCCGATAGTCGAAGAGGTAATAAAGGTAGTAGAAGTAATCGGAGAGGTTAGAGTTAGAAGATATTATTCAAGAAGTATGATTCTGTGAGATAAGTTTAGAAAGTCAAAACTAAAAGTGTTGAAGAATCCAGAAGATTAGGATTTGAGAGAACACAAAGAATAAATGTACCTGCGCCATTGCGAATGATTTTGAGCCATGTCATTCAAGGTCTCTAACCATCGATTATTATCATCTCGCAAAACCCAACCAGGTAGTCGACAACTACCAACATGGCTAGGTCCACTTGTCTATGACTTCATGGATTTCTGTCACGTTTTGATTTGGCCGCCCCTAACTTTCTTCCAACCTACTCCTACACTACAAAACAAAGCTCGTCGAGGCAGTCGGTGGGTAGGCATAAGCAGCACATGTCCCAACCACCTCAATTGATGAAGTTTCAATATTTCATCTATTGATCTGCCATTCTTACCTAACACTCGCTTCCTAATAACAGCGTTGCTCACTTGGGTGAGATTTCGTCGGTCACCTAGGCCATCGGCACTGATGAAACTCCCAAGATAAGTGAAGCAGTCTACACGTTCGACTATTTCACTCCCTATCAGAAATAGATATATGTACGTATATATATATATATATATATATATATATATATATATATCACTCTGTGTTTTATCGATTTGTTTTAATAGTGTAATGAGTGTTTTTGATTTTTTTTCTGCTGGACATTTATTTGGTTTGAAATTTTTTAAAACTTCATACTAATAAAAAACTAGATGATGTCATGAGTCATTAAATTGGTTACTATTATTAGTAGTTATCATACTGATAAACACTGGTCATAGTTATATATATATTTGATATTATATACTCGAATAATAATTTTTAATAAATTAAGGTTTATACCACTTCTATGATATGTCAGTACTCGAATGAGAGAAACAGAGAGAGAGGGTAGAGAGAGAGAGAATAATTTTTGAGCACAGTTTGACCTAGAATTCATCAAGAAATCTTTTTACATCTATCAGCAAAATCTTTACCTTTTATATCGATTTTTTCAAATGATACGATATTTTGGGGCAGAGTTTTGGAGGTTTGTGTTTTTACACATTTGAAATCATCAATCAATCATTGTAAGACCACCATTAGAAACCTGGAAGTACTGGAAGGCCGTTTCGTCCTGGTATGAGACTCATCAGTGGCAGTGCACAGCTACGACTCCTGCTCCTCGGAGGACTCGAACCTAGGACATTCGGTATTGTGCGCGAACGCCTAACCATTGGACCACTGGGCTGGCACCCGACGGTATTAATGTCTAACTCTGATTGATCTAGGTATTTTGCACGACCTCACCCATAATTTGTCTTTGGTAGTTACTGACTACAACCGACAGGGTTGAACTCCTCCATTGGTCATACATCTTCTCAACTAGAACTCCGTGGAATTTCCTCACGAAGAAGCTAGTCACCACTATTGAGCACTGTTACGATATTTTGGGGCACAGTTTTGGAGGTTTGCGATTTTTTTTGCACATTTCAAATCATCAATCAATCAATCATTTTTAAACTGCCATTAGGATGCTCACTGACACTGTTGAGTCCCGTACCAGGATGAAACGGCTGTCTTTCAGTGCTTCTAGGTTTCTAATGGTGGTGGTCTAACAATGATTGATTGATGATTTCAAATGATATGATATTATTATAGTCACATTCAAAGTTTCTAACTGTCGGTCAATATTGTTTCACGTGGACTCGAACCCAGTAGTCTACACCTACTACTAACATTATATGGCTTAAAACCGTTTGCAATGGCACAGGTGCATCCACCCTTTTGTGTTCTTTCAAATTCTAATCTTTTGAATTCATCATCATCATCTACATTTCCATTACTAAATTTACTTCACTGAATTATATATCTTTGAACCTTAATCTCTCCGATCAATTCTAATACTTTTAGTGCTGATGTGGTATGGCAACTTGAACTGATGTACTTACGTGCAAAGTTCTACGTTGCTGTTGATGATTGATGATGAACATGACTTAGTTCAGTTGTCACAATGACTTTATGGGTTTTATGCCATGTTTTGGTTTGGCCGCCCCTAACTTTCTTCCAACCTATTCTTACACTACAAAACAAAGCTCGTCGAGGCAGTCGGTGGTTGGGCATACGTAACACATGTCCCAACCACCTCAACTGATGAAGTTTCACTACTTCATCAAATGATCTGCCATTCTTACCTAACACCCGTTTCCTAACGACAGCACTCGCTCACTCGATCACTTACTCTTTGGAACTCGTATGTCATTTTCGCTTCGTGTGCCTATGGTTTCGGTGATATGTGTGTAATACGATAATAATCGTATTCAACCCTTCGTATTTGTCAGCTGATTCTTACATCGTTGGCCGTTATCTAGTTAGCGGTTATCAGGGCGAACAGTATACTAATTCTAAGGAATCATATCAAATACGAATCGCCATAGAACTAGTCAGTCCGCCCCCCATCCAACAAAAATGAAGTCTTGCCGAGTAGTGAAATCTCGAAAGGATGTTTCTTTTTATTTGAGACTTTCAAATTATGAA